AATTACCCAGGTATTTGTTTTGTCGCGATATGTGATGCCAAAAAATTCAGTTTCAATAAGACTGAGTGAGCTGCATACATAATCAAACAATTGCTGACCAAAGGCCTTTTTCTAAAGCAAAAAAAATCAAAATCTGCATCAAGATTGATTCAAATGGCGTATGAGAACATTATATTAAGCAAAAATAATGGACCAAAACAAATTTATCTAGAGAAAATTAACACACATTTTATAGCAAGTCACATTCTTATTAAGTTACAACGAATAGAAGTCCAAGTAAAAAATAAATGCGAAATCATAATTCATATTTTTAGAGAGTAGGATCTTATAAAGGTTCAAAAATTGATTAATTAAGGTAGTAAGTAAGCGAATATATTTCATACTTAGAACAAGTAAATATGATATATTTTATACGGGATAATTAAGACAAAATGCGTTCACAAGAAGTAAACTTGCGTCTAAATTGAAAACTTGCTCCGAGCCATCCAACATTACTACAGTACAATCTACCATTTTGCCAGAAGGTTTAAAATCTAATGCTGAAGCTTGCGAACGTCCAAGATGTGAATGAGAATGCAAAGTGTCCTTGTTCATTTGAACAAGAGGGCTAGAAGATGCTCCAGGCATAGAAGGAGACATGAGAGCGCCAGTGCCTAGAGCTGATCCACCAGTGATACTCCCTAAGCGATTGATATTTCCAAGTGTGCCATTTCCATCAATTCTTCGCAAGCTCATATAATATTCTTTTTTAGGAAGAGTGTCAATAACTTCAAATCCTCCATCGGGTAATGGACTCCACTGTGGCTGATCCATCAAAGCCATATTAAATGATTCTGGATTAGTTTCACTATCAGACGGGTAGACTCCAATTTGTGGGGTGAGCACAGGGCAGGCCGAATCGTCCTTTGCAACAATAAATATTGGAAGAAAGAAATAAGATCGACGTATAAAGAATTACGGTTATAACGTATTTTAAGGTCAGAATAAGCTTAAAAATTTGAGAAAACCTGCATTTTTGGATGATCTAAATAGGATAAGATAGAGATACTGTAAGCATTAAAATTAGTAAAGAAAAGACCACAATGTACAAGCTTAAACTCTTTTGATGAGCAAAAAAATTAATAGTAATAAAATATAAATGTTGGCATACACAGACTCTTGACATTGAAATATACACCGGGGAAGATAAAGGAGAACAGAGTGGCTACCAAATACAGCGAGCGGGACAGAGCAAGAATAAGGAAATCAAAGCTCCCACGTAAATAACATAATCAAACAAACA